CCCCCCCCAAAAAAAACCACTCCCTGGCTCAGGTGGCTGCCTGAGTAAGTGCTTTCCTGGAGCCAAGCTGGCCCCTGCATCTGGAAGGGGCAGGGAAAGGGGGGAGAAGAGGGATCACACCAAGCTGCAGAAGTCATCGAAGCCCCAAAGGTCACCACGTAACCAGGGTGCTGGTGGGGGAATTTGGGATGGGTTTGGGGCTGTATCGTTCCACTCTGGCTCCCAACCCAAAAGCTCTCATGAGAAAAACAAGGAAACACAAAACCAGGCAGTTTGGTCTGTCGAGTTGACAGAGAAAAGAAGAAGAAAAAAAAAAATCCAAAACAAAACACACACACACACAAAAAAAAAAATCTTCCAAGATAAATACACAGCCCCCATTTTGGAAGCATCTTCAAAAAAACTGGATCAACCGTTTGTCAGCAGTGGCACAACCTCCCAGGAACATCTGTTGGGCTGGTGAGTTCTCGGCTCCCTTTTGAAGAGGGAACAGTTCAAGGGGAAAAAAGAATCCAGGTCCCACCACGCCCAGCTCCCGCTTTATCTGCGGAACAACTGGCCACAGCAATTCCCTGGCAGCAGCAGGCTGGGAACCAGCAAGGAGCCCCTAATGCAGCAGGTTCCTGTTTGCTCATGGAAAGGGCTGGCAGTGGTAGCAACTGGCTAGGGAAAGATTTCTCCCAGAAAACAGTACTTCAGGGGGGATTTAGGAAGGCCTGGGACCTCTCCCTGCGGATGGAAACCGGCCACGCTCGAGCATGCTGTCGGAAGGCAACACACATCAGGAATTCCCATGGAGTCCACGGCAGTGGGACAGTGACAACACGGAGGTTTTGGCTTCCAGGGATCCAGCAGGTCTCCCAGACTCCTTGGCTAATGCTGGGGAAAGCTCCCAGACTGGGGGGTTGGCTTTAAGGGGAGGTTATTGCTCCCGACTTCTCCGGCTTTTTGCCTTTCGACAGGGCAGCCGCTTGCTTCAGGAGTTCTCTGTTCTTGGCCTGGGAACAGGGAAAAGGGGTGTTTAAGGGTATGGATCAGCAGCAGCTCTTGGGTTCCCAGAATTGCCTGGGCAGGAGCTGCTGGCATCCTGCACAGAGGTGGAAAAGGAGGCAGATGTTGAGCTCACCTCTGACCACCTAGAAGGGGCTCTCCCATCCCAGCTTCCCCCCGAAAGGACAAAGATAAAATATTAAAACCTGAGAGAGCCTGGTCAAAAAAGGATCCATATGAACAATTCAAGGCACCTGGAGTACACTCTGAGAGGATTTGAGCTTTTATTCTGGAATCAGTGAAACTTCCAGAGCCCCAGCCAATACCAGCAGAAAACACTTGGACACCAGAGATCAGGGCAGTCCCAGCCAGAGCTGAGCCCAGCATGGAAATACCCAGGAGAGGCAGGTGGCTGGGACACAACTGCTCCTGGAGCTGATGCTTCCTTCTCCTCCCTCACAGGGAGCAGGAAGCACAGCCAGCCCTCTCCACACCACACACAGATGTTCCAGCCTTCAGCCAGGCAGAAGGATGAGCATGGTCAAGGGGATATCACAGGCACCAGCACTCTGACAGCAGCTGGAGGCTCCAAAACCTGCCCTGCACTGGGATACTTCCCCGGGAATGTTGGATGGAGGAGGGGCTCTTTCCTCAGAGGCAACAGAAGCCTTTTGTCTCATCCCCTCCCACCTCTCATCGCTGGGGCTTTAGATCTTTATATACCCAGAGTAATTAAAGGGTGCAAAGTTCATTTCTCTGTCTGATTTCTCCCCCTTTGACCTGATCCCTTCCATGGCTCGGGCTATTCATGCTGATAATCGCTGTGTCTCCAGGGCCCTGGCAAAAATCCTGCTCTCCCTGTTCCCTCCAGCTCAGGGACTTCTTTATTTGGACTAGAGAGATACAGGGCTAAAGGAACTGCCAATTGTTCCTTTGTTCTCCCTCCTTACTGGTCACACCAATCACAAGGAGGCGATTTAGAGGTGCAGGGAGCTCACAGAGGTCCTGCAGGCTGGAAAAACAAGTTCAAACCTGATTTTGGCAATAGGTAAAATGAGTTTGATGGTTTCAGTCTAGTCCATGAGGGACACAACACAGCACTTCACAACACAGTAAGTGTGAATGGAGGTTGGAATGCAGTGCAGAGGCTGTAGGATAGGGATGAGAAGGATTAACAGAGCCGTGTGTGCAGGAGCTCACGGGGTGTTGTGATCAGGAGTGTCCTCAGTCACTCCCAGATAAAGCACAGCCCAGCAAATTGACCCAAGAGTGTGTCACCTGTAACTGCTCCATGACCTCCTTGTGTGTCTTCTCCATCTGGTTCATCTTTGCCCTCATCTGTGATTCCTGGTACTGCAGGTCGGCTTTCAGCTCCGTGATCTGGGGAGAAACCAGGAAGGAGCAAGGCAGCTGGAAGAGGCAATGAATTCCCTCCCCCCCAGACGCTCCCTGCCACGGAAAACACCTCTGCAGAAGGTGTGTGAGACTGGCTGAGGTCAGAGACGTGCCTGGGGAGTGCAACCACGCCAGAACCGTGGCCCTGAGCAGCACAGGGACTGCAAGGAGCAGCATGTTCACTCCCAGTCTTGCCCACACACAGAGGTCTCCAAGAGAGTGGTCAGGAAGTGACCCTTTATGAAATGAGATCTCCTGGGTGGGTCCAGAGAGCCTCTTGGCTTTGGACAGGAGACAGCCTGCAAACAGCCAGACATGCTCTTGCTCACTCCAAGATAAAAAGCCAGGCTGTGCTTTGGAGTGTGATCTGTGAGAACATTCCAGCCTGCTGGGGGGGAAGCAAGCCAAGGGCTGTACCTTCTTCTCCTTCTCCAGAATCATCTGATCCTTCTGGTGCAGCATCTTTTTTAAAGTAGCCACTTCCTCCTTCAGCTGGGCAATGATGACAAAGTGGTCGGTGCCAGGGGAGTCCAGGGCCAGGTCTGGAGAAAAGCTGCAGCAAAAAGAACAGGGAGAGGCTCTCAGCACAACCCTCATTTCCACTGAGTCAGGGGAAACTCCCACGGATGCATTCAGATGGGAATCGTTTCAGGATCCTTCAGGATCCTTTTTTCAAACCAAAGAGCTGAAGACAGCAATCAGAGAAATACTGAAACTTTTATGATCCCTCTGGAACTCCTTTGCTCACAGGCAGTCCTCGGATGCACGGCAGAACTTCCCACTGAATGTAAACAAACATTCTGGCAGGGAGGGGACATGAAAGAGAAACAAATAACGCCCAAGTTCAACAAACAGAGCAAAGGGAACAGCTAAATTGAAGTCAGCACTGTCCTCAGCAGGAAAAAGGGGTAAAAAACATGCTGGACTTTGTATTTTGGTTCTGCCACGGTAAAGCAATTTAGGGAGAAGCTTCATTATCTCAGAGCAGGAAAAACTCTCTGGGAAGACAGAGAAATAGCTGAGCACATCACCTGTACACCACCAGGTCTCTAATCATAAGCAACCAGCTGGGAACTTATCTGGACTGGTAAATCACAAACCTCCCTACGAGACACCAGTGACCCGGGGCAGCCACACACAGTCCTGTGCTGCAGGAATATTCTGGATCATAAGATACCACAAGCTGCAGCCAGAGGCCCAGGGAGCTCACCTGATTTTTCCCTGCCTTCTGTTCCACCCCTAAGGCTTGTTTTTATCTCCTGGTGCTAAGAGGGCAGTGCACTCCCAGCCACACACACCTGAAATTGCTGTATAAAAACTGAGCAGCAATAAGACAACAAAGCCTAACCTAGAAGATGGACTTCAGGTCTGGCTGTTATCAGATAAATAAAGATAAATCACCAGGGTCACCTGGAGCCTGACTCTTTTTTTTTTTAAAGCCTCCAGAGTAGGTCATCACTGAGCTCTAAAGCTGGGAGCTGCAGCAGGGTGTGGCAGGCACGTGTGGAAGGCACGGTGTGAACCCAAAATTCTGCCTCTCTCAAGGATGTTTCCACCTCTGAGCTTTCAGTTCCCCACCAAGGCAGAGAGTACCCACTGCTCACCTCACACGGGGTCTCCTCTAGCGCCTGGAAACGATCCATTTCCTAATTAAAAGCACAGCCTGCTTTGACTGGACTCGTTAGTGAGGATGTGGCAGGAGAAAGGCTCCTTCCCCCACTGTGCTGGGGATGTACAGAGGGGAACTAAGCAGAGGCAGCTTCCCAGATCTGAGAGTCAGAGGACGGCCCTGAGGCGCTGGGAAAGAAAGCCTGGCAAAGGAAAACTCGGGACTGAGGGGCTGCAGGAGACAGCCCGTGGTGGAGGAGCCTGGCATGGCTAAAACGTGCTGACAGCAGAGCCCACACGAGATGTGACAGCACTCTGGGCACGCTGGATCCATTTTAAAACTGTTCCCGAGTAGTTTTCCCAAGTGCAGGGTGATGGTGGGAGCTCCATCACCTTCCTGTGTGCAAGCACGTTACCAACAGCAGCTTTAATTTCCCACTCAGTGCAAATATGCTGGGGAGGAGAGAGAGAAATCAAAAAAAACCCCAGCCTCCACGGAGAAAAAAAGGCTTCCTCACCATTCCCTCTGGCTAAAAACAATCCCTTGACACACCATTCCTTTGCCCAGGCACGCTTCCCTCCTGCCGTGCCCTGGGGGGATAAAGAGTGCTGGGAGATGCTCCCATTTCCCTGAGCAGCTCCAGCAGGAAAAATTCCCTGCTTGGCAGCTCCTGCTGCCCAGCACGTCGTGGAGCAGGGAAGGTGAGAGCCAGCCCTGCCACCCAGTGGGGAGAAGGGACAGGAGGGACACCAACCTTCCACAGAGCACCCACCAGCTGGGAGCGAGGGCTTGGAGTTATCAGGGATCCCCTGCTGGGGGGGGGATAAAGTATAAGTAAATATCAGGCAGGTATTTTCCTGTCCAGTTGCTGCAAAATGCCCCCTCAAATATGTCAAGGTGCTAATTAAAAAAGCAGCTTTTTTTTTTTGATTCTCTCTTCTTTTATATTTTTTGAAGGCTGACAAATGAAAGGTTCCTCTGTCTTTAAGGGAGCAGCCTGAGACTCCAAAACTGGAAGGAAAACTGCCAAATGCAAGTCGCTTCATTCCTTTAAAAAACCAGATCAAGAACTAAAACAACCAAGCAAAAAAAAAAAAAAAAAGAGCCATATCCTCTATACAAATACACTCAGCATCCCTGCCCCTTGGGATAGGTCGGGGGGCATGTGCTCCCCCTGTTCAAACAGCCGAAAATGCACGTTGCTAATTAAAGGGGAATTGATGAGCTCCCGTTGTTTTCAGTGCAGACAGAGGACAAAAATGGAGCTGTTCCAAAGGCACCTGCCTCTCTATTGACTGGAACAGAAACCAAATTGACTGCCTTAAACTCCACACCTGTTAAATGGCTGAAATTAGGCAAAGCAAATGCCAAGCTTAAGGATTTTGCTATTCAAGTCAGGCTGGCGTGAAGAGGCACAGATCAGGCATGGAACCAGCATCCAGGTTTCACCTCAGACAAAAACCACCTAGAATACAGCAGCCAGCCCTGGGCCCCAACACCAGGAGGACCTGGAGCTGCTGGAG